TATTTTTGGATTTTAAATTTCATAAAGAATATTTAAAGTCTTTGCTGGTGCATTCAGAATAATTACAATGGTAGTGATGGCATGTTTCTTACATCTGTAGTTTTTTCAACATAAAGTAGGTACCTAAAGTTTGTTTCGCCAGGGTTTGTACTTGCCACCAGCATTTGCCTTCCTTGTTTAACAAATGAAAATTGACTGAAACAAATCAATGGCGTCAAAAACGTTCGTCGGTTCTTAAACCAGAAGTCATTCATTTTAACTTGTCAAAAAAATTGAATGTGTCATATGAATTAATCTACGACAACCTTTTTTTTTCAAATTTCAAGGTCAAGTATGAACCTTGGTGAAACGAACCTTACCTACCTAATTTCTACATTTTATGTGAAAATCGGCATTAGATATTTCTATGTTGAACAAAATTCTACATAATAAATAATTCAATTTTTTTTTGTCAATGAATGAATTACATTTTTAAATTAAAAGAATCCTATTTTGACCTGGAATCTTAAAGCAGGCAACAACAAAATACATAGAGCCATGTTTATAAGCATCACGTAAAATAAAATCGATAAACTGGAGAACGACGACCGATGTCTCGGCGGGGACAAATTCATGGGAGGAGGCAAAAAGAGGCATCCCAGATACAGCCTGGAAAACAGCGAACACAGACCTATGACTATGAATATTCTGAATAATTAAAATTCATTAAATAAAAACTTATAAAGTTCCTTGTTGAATAGATTTTAAGTATTTCCTGAACAACAATCACTGGCACAATTGGAAAAAGAATCCCCTAGGATCACAAGCAATCGCATATTCGTAATCCATTCGAAGATGAATCCAGCAACCGGATGCAGTGGCGGGGGTAAGTAAGGCATATAATGACACGAAGGCAATAAATAAAAAAATCCGAACCGCGCAAATCATAGAATCCGAGCAATAAATTTTGGAGCAATTTAATCAAAAAGTGCTCGCTGCTGCTCCCGGTGGCGCGATGAGATATTTCCAAGTCTCTCGAGCCGCTGGCGGCGATTTTCCATTTTCCATTATCATGCATTACTTAAACTCAATCTAAACACATAAATAATCGAGGGCGCAGCGACGACAAATCCTCTGCTCAGGGTATAATTGCAGTTTTTCCGTCCGCGCCTACGACTAATGCTGGATGCTGACTCTATATTGTTTGCCAGGAATTGACAGAAAAGAAAAATATTTCTGCGATAAAAGTCCCAGATGTTTATTTTTTTTTAAAGTTTTATTCAATACATACATGGTACTCGGAATAGATAGGTATTTATCTATTTCGATATTCCGCATGTCTGGAATTTAGATTATCTAAGATTATTAAAAACCATTCCAATAAAGTCCGATTGAATATTGTTATTTCCAGAATAAATTCCACATCAGTGGTATGCGTGTTCGAACAATCCAAAATTAAATACTCCTTACTCATTGAATTTAACGACGTAAAAAGTTTCTAAACAATATTTACCATGGTGTTAATCTCTTTATTACAATAATTCATATAAGCTCGAGCTCGAGACAAACAGTTTGCCAAATTATCGCTAATATTTTACTGGATATTTTTGGCTTATTGGCAATTATTATTTCCTAGATGCATGGTCCAGAATTTCATTCGGGCAGCTATTAATTCTGAGTAGACTTTGTTGTTGATGGGTTGCATGGGTGTAGGCATGAATGCATATGAATCAGTCATGTCGCAGGAATGTAATCATTGAACATTTTTGGCACTGTAAAAATTTCATTCTCAAAGTTTATTGTTGATTGTTGATAGGATGTTATCTTTTTTCTTTGAATATTAGCTCTCAATACATGATATCAGTAGGTAGAATAATTGTTTATTAATGGCTTTCTGTAGAACTTTTGGATCCTCCCCGATAGGAATTGTTCGATTTTCCACGAGAAGAGCATCCAGCACAGGCATGCAGCTATATATTTTCTCGTCTATATACTCCAGATTCTGCAGTGGGCATTTTTTTTTTTCTTCTCTCATCCAGATCCGTTCGTTCGATTTTCTCTATATACATAACGTAACGACGCCCGACGACGCAGGGCGTCCGATACATCGCGCGCAAGCACCGGCATCGGGCTTCGGGGGCGATTGGTCGATCGCTTTCCGATAGATGCGGTAAAATCACGCCTATTGGCCCGATTGATTTTGTTTATTGGAAATCGGGAATATCGGGAACCAATCCGGAGTTGTATTGGAGAAGTTTGCTCGACGTAAATGTCTGGGTTTTGCGATTTGAGAGAATTCGACTATGAATTCGTATTAGCGAAGCAATAATTTTGGTACTTACCGTACATTAAGAATAACACATCTACCAACTCAACGCAATAAATTATTACGAAACACCGAAGGAGTCAGAATAATATATGTCATTAGGTCATATAACCTTGTATTATTACTACATTCCACGTATATAGGCTCCTGATGGGGAGAAGCAAAAACATCACCCACTTACTCAAGGATCCATGTCTAGGCCTAAAACTTCATAACAAATACCTTGATATGAAGTTTCATATAAAGTCCTTTCATTCTTTATGTCAGATTTAGGTCCCTCTCCTGTATCTTGATAGGTAGGTATAGATCGTGATTCTTATTTGGCTTCTTGTTATCCGGATTATTCTATTGCAGGTATGCTCAAAAAGATAAAGTTATACGCGGTACCATGAGCGGAAGGAATTAAGAGACGATTAACCCTCCGTTTAAATACATTAAGGTTAATTCATTCAGGAAATGAGGTAGGAGGCAGAGAGTTCCAGGGGTGGACATTAGGTACGCCACCAAAAAGAAGCCCTATATTTAGAGGTTCTCAGAGTAGCCCAACTTTACCACCTATAAATGGCCTGTGAGATTTTTGTAGTTCCTAAATAACTTCTCCAAGCTAGAATGAGGCTGGCCAGATCGTCAAAACATGCCCGATGGTGCAGTAAGCCGATTGCCAGAAGAGAAAGATGTCATCAAGCTACTATCGTCCGCAAAGCTGTATATGGGGTTTCTTGTCACAATTAAAAAATCATTCATAAAAATGAGAGACAGTGTTGGGGAAAGAAATGAGCTTTGGAGAACGCCGGCATTTATTGGCAGTGTATCAGAAGTCACACCATCGAGCACATCATGCAAGGCCTTATCCAAGAAACTCCCCAGCCAATGGTAAAATTCTGTCGGAAGACCATACGATGGAAGTTTGCTGAAGAGACCTTTATGCCACACCAGATCAAAAGCCTCGGAGATGTTCAATGCTACAATTCTAGAACGGAACCAGTACTGTTGGTCAGAGATAAGCTTATTGGCTTCGAGATATTTAACCAGTTTCAGGTCGAGGGCACTTTGGCACATTTCCAGATAAACGGAAAAACACCCTGACTGTAAGACAGTTGAAACAATGCGAAGAACTGAAGACAATTCTTGTGCACAAGTTATGAGGACAAGTGGTGGAGGTGGTATGCCGTCGGGACCAAAACATTTCCCAGTGTCAAGTTGCAGAAGAAGTTTCCTTTTAGGTCTGGACACAACGTAGTTCATATTGATAAGATGTGTAGTAGTATATACCTGTAGCGCTGTGCGATTATCTACCATCGTGGAATTGGATGCAAATCGTTTGGCAAAGAGTTCTGCTTTTTCCTTTGACGATACTACAATGGAATTATTCTCACTAACTATAAAGGTGGAAAGGAAAAAGATGTGAATGTGAACTCCTTATCCTTGTTGGTTGCAGATCGAGTTTATTGCTATTGGTTTCTATGCCAAGCAAGATATACAGGGTTTTCTGGCATCGGGGATATTATGCAGCCTTCGAAAGGTCGGAAAGATCGAGAACAAGAGCTTTAGGCTTTTCCAGTCTGCAGCTCCATAATGCCACACCGTGGTATTGGAGCAAGGACTGAGAGTAAAACAAACGAACTTCGAACGGAAATGAATTTGTGTTCTGATTGAAGTCTGATTTACTCAAAGGTGCAAACACATTGATCTTGAAGGGATCGGAATTAATGGTAAGGTCTTAAGATTCCTTACCGTAAGGAACAAATCGAGTAAATTGGCCTGTTGACAAACAGAATCGGGTATACCTGTGGGCTCTTCTTCCAACTGGGTCAGGCCGAGTGAAATAGCAAATGTTTCAACAACAATACTTCCAGCATGGTCGATGTTTATAGTCTTTTGAGTAGCAGGGCAACTGGCGGCCTGGGATATGAGTTTTTGAAGTTCATCTACGAATTTCTCGATAATCGCAGAGAGCCATGTATTGTATTTTGACTTGAAAGCCTTTGGCGTGTGCTTAGACACGTGTTACATTCAAGTTTGTAGTTACGAATACATAAGGGTTTTGTATAGGTTGAGAACTATGGATTCTGCAGCTTTTGACTCACCCCTGTTAGAATTTTTGACTTTTTTCGTCAGTTTTGTAGCACTCTCACTATCACTGACATTTTCGTACTCGGATTCAGGTTGCGCAACTCCCATGACTGCGCGGATGCCTGTATTACCTGTAGAGTTCCTAGTTACCCAAACTAACTGAAACTTACCCAAACTAACTCGAACTAACCCGAACTAACTCAAACTAATCCAAAATAACTCAAACTAACCCAAACTAACTTGCACTGACCCAAACTAATCCAATACTAACTCAAACCTACCCTTTTTTTTATTGGTAGGGATTAGGAAATACTCTCGCGCGATCGACGCACGAATTAGGGCATTGATGTTCTGGCACCCTAAGACAGTGTGAGACTCAACCCACTAAAACCCTTCCCATGCCGTTGGCAACTGCGTCCGACTAGAACCGCTTACGCATTACTTCAATCGTGGCAGTGAGTCTAGAGTCTAGTGGTGCATCCGTTTTTCATATTCTGGATTTTCTTCCGTTAATCTTTCGTCAGTCATCTTGGTCTTCAGAATTGTAGGAGCCATCTTATTCACTTCGCTCCAATTGTGTTGGTTCTTCGTCTCTACCGCTATAAGATTGTCTGGAGTGAACCTTGTCCCCGTGTTGTTGAAGGATGCTTCCCTTTCCGCATTCCATTGTCTACAATGGAAAAAGGTGTGCTCAGCGGTATTAGAATCTCCGCAATATAAGCATTCGCTGTCAGCTGATTTGCCAGGCCATAAGTATAATCTCTTAAGCATCCGTGTCCTGTCAGCAATTGCGTCATGTAGTGGTCCGTGTCCCCATGTTTCCTGTCGAGCCATGTTGCTATATCGGTAATGAGTCTGGCCGTCCATCTTCCTTTGTTGCTGGAGCGCCATCTTTCCTGCCATTTTAGTAGCAGTGTTTCTCTGCTTTGTCTTCGTGCTGCGTTCCTTTCCGGAGTGTCAGCCTTTGAGATGGCAATCGCCTCCTCTATAAGCAGGTCGATGGGTGGGAGTTCGGCTAAAACCAAGAGCGCGTCCGTAGACGTGGTTCGGTAGGCGCTGGTGACCCGGATCGCCGCCTGCCTCTGTACCCTTTCATATGTCAGTAGGTTTACCTTTCTACCAATCGCCACTAACAAGGCCGGCGCTACTCAAACGTACCCAAACTAACTCAAACTAACTCGAACTAACTCAAACTAATTCAATACTAACCCAAACTAACTCAAACTTACCCAAACTGTAGTCTTCTGGGTTGTCATCGGAGTGGGACATCTTCGCTGCTGTGGAGCTACTAAGCTCTGTTTGTGTGAATTTTCTAAAAGCCCCAATGAATTAAACAGACTTTTCGCTGCTGATAACATCTGGCTGTGGCTCAACTCTACTGATCGCTTCGGGCTCTTGACGACGACTATGTTCAGTGTTGTTCGAGAGCTTGAGCCACTCTGAATTATGAACATTTAAATATCCCAAGAATATAATCTCGGAGTTCGGATGGGTCGCCTGGATAGAATCAAATGTATTTGCCAGATTTTCAAATAGAAGTTCATGAATGGATTCGTTGGGTGAAAGATGCACGCATCAAACAAAAAACCATGTTCCGCTTTTGAAAGAGGTTGTTACCCGCAAATCAAGATTGAAAAGTAAATAATAAAATGAGGAAGTGAGACAGTGAATGGGTTACTAAAATAAAAAAAATATAGAAAGAGAGGGTTGGTCGGTGGCTAAAATCCAGAAACGGGACTTCGTGTGAAGTGTTGCCGACTAGCTTCCAATGCGGAGAGTGGTGTGGATCAATTAAATAATTAAATATAGAGCGCCAACTGCTTTTCCCTGCAGTACACGAAGTCAACCGATATAACGAAAACAGGAAACTTCTACGGACCTATAGCAGCACAACATGAAATTTGAAAGTAAATAAGAAGAAAAAGACAATAATAAGGAGGAAGCATTTTAGAAACCTAACATACAAGGACGAGGGTATTAACATCAAAACTGCATGTCACATCTACACAACAATATGCAGACCAATTTTGGAATACGGACAAATAATTTTCAGTGCTTGTAGAGGACCTGCCATCCAGATAATAGAAACTGCAGAAAGAACTAGTCTCCAAAACAAAAATCAGACATTCTACAAATCCGCTTCATAATCCATCAAATGAAATGTTGTATCAAAAAACTGAAATTGAACCAATCATTCAAAGATTTCAAAGTCTTACCGAGAAGTTTGGCAGCAAACCATCCAACATAGCGATAATCAGTCCATTCATTTTGGAAATTCCACAAGGCCTTATCAGGAAAAGACAATATCCAGAAGAAACTGTTTTCCAAATTATTCAAAATAATAGACTATAAAAAGCTAACATAAGTACATAGGTAGTTGTGTTGTACGTACTTGCATTGTTCATTTAATTTTTTTTTTTTTTTTCTCCATCGCATGTTGATTTATCTGTTTTATACTTATGGTTAGCAAATTTTGTAAATACATACAAAATTGTAGATATCAAAGGCTGAAAGACCTCGGTCGATGGCCCTTTGAACAATTAGTTCAATAAATATTGTTTACTACTACTTACTAAGAAGGAAGGGCAGAAGTGAAACGCTTTGCTACAATCAGGTACGGGTTTTTAATTGGAACCAGAACATGTTTGACTCTAGAGTAGGTTCGGAGTGGGTTTTCCGAACGCCCTGGAACACTGGAACCAGAACAACAACAAAATAAATCGACTAGGAGTAGGTACCTAACCTTATGTTCTAAAAATAGTATTTACAATAATTACACTCAACTTGAGTCCCTAAATAAAGAAAAGAGTATTGTATAACACTTCTAACAGCAATAATACCGGAAATGTAAATTATTAGACAAGCTTACTAAACGCGGTACCCTCGTAAATGGCCATTTAACCCCAGTGTACAAGTATTTTTCTGTATTCAGTGCAGCATGTATTTATGGGATATTAGAGAGATATAGATCATTACCTAATAATTAAAGTTGAAGTAACAATACGTAACCTGAAGGGCGAATTTAATATTATGGAATAATATAGGTAATATAGATAAATAATTAAAATTGAAGTAACAATACATAACCTGACGGGCAAGTTTCATATAATATAGGTAATATAGATAATTAATTAAAATTGAAATAACAACACATAACCTGAAGGGCTTTAATATTACGTAGTAGAAAACTGCGTGGCTGTGCTGATTTATTCCAACAAGGGGTTGGTAAGGTTAGGTTTGATAGGTTCCAGATATTAAGACAATAAACACAACACACTTATCAAACCTGAGTAGTTCCTAATCCCTTGAGGGGAACCTGAAGGATTGGATTGATATCTTCCAGTGTTTCCGGTGGCCTGGGACTGGATCAGGGTCGCGACAAGAAGCAACTGGCCCTGGGCACTGAAGTTCAGTAATTAGAAGTCACGAAAGCTTCCAATTGTCTAGTGGAGGCTGAAGACAGGAAGTACTTGAAATATACAGTAAGTTTAACGTTTAACTCTTTACTCAAAGTTCAGGACTAAAGCGTGACGACTAAAGGCCTGCAACAAATGGACGTTATGAGACTGGGCGTGGATCGATAGGTAGGTATGTCCAATATTCGGAATTTAACCATATAATTAACAGAAAACTATGCTTATACATAGGCAATAGAGAAACACAGAGAAGACTAATAAGAAAAACCACTAACCAAAATACTTTGGCCTTTAGGAACAAACAATTGATCACGTTGCTCTTTTTCGGCTCACAAAGAAATCCGCGTAAGGCGCTTCGGTGCTAAAATAACGGATTAGCCGCCCTAGATTTATGAGCGAAAACTGGACAACTCAGAAATCGGCAAAATGAGGAATTTTCCCGAACACTTAATCGTGGAAAGTCCTCGACCTGAATGACCTCTGCTTGTCCCTTCAATGTCCTTTAAAAAGGTTGTGTCAAAACTCCAAGGTGAAGGATTCTGGGGAATTTTGATGGTAGTTGGGCATGAGACTTATTTAAATTAAGTTGGTACCAGTCATTGACCTTATTTGGAGCGCTGTCAATCTAATCAATCTACTCGGATCAGACAATCAGCTGTTCTAATGTAAATATTGTGATTTTGTTTATTAATAAATTAATTGACTATTTATTTTAACCCTACTAAAAGGAAATCAATTCCATTATTAAACTCTACCTTGATGATTCTGGGAAGAATGATAAGTTTGAAGAAAAGTGTGGCCAAAACTATTGGGAAGAAAACAGTGGTTCGACGAAGGTATGCTGTTCAATGAGGCGAATACGCTTATTTCCTTTTATTTTGGCACAGGAAAAATCATCCCGTAACAAGGTTTCCTACGTTTTTCTTTAGAATGTGTGAATATCACTGATTGTTTATTTATTTTATACCATGTAATGCATTCTTTCTCTCTGCTATATCATTATTGGGACCCTAATGAAGTTTTCACGTTCAGACTTGCTTGAATAAAAACCAGTCATCCGCTCACGACAAATTCCAGGTGTATCTATATTATCTATATGAAAGCGCTTCTTTCATGTAAACTCGGCCACATTGTCAGATCGCTACAATATAGGAATACGCTGTGTTTACGAAATCTGAAATAATTTCACTTCCTCGAACCATAAATACGATAATTCTTGCAAGTATGGTAATGAATTGAGAATAAAACGCTAATCGCTCTAGGTGTTCTTGCAATGACGACCAGAGCACTATAATGTCATCAAGGTAAACTAAGCACTTTTCGTTTTGGATTCCTCGTAGGATGCCGTCCATGACCCTTTGAAAGGTTGCTGGTGCGTTGGTGAGCCCGAATGACATTCTCAAAAATTCGAAATGGCCATTTTCTGTTTCAAATACTCATCTGGGGCCTTTGAAATAAGTCGCTCAGTACGTAATATCTACAGTCAGTCCAGTGTATAGTTCTTACCCTCATGGTTCCATAAGTGGTGGAGTACGGAACCAGATCAGCTTGACAGAGGATCTTGATGGATGGAAGTTCGCTTCTTACTGGATCCTAATGCCAAATGGTACCGTCGTGGGACCTGAAACTAGAAAACTCGGGCATAATATATATTTTTTTATAGAATGAAAAAACAAAGAGAATCGAACTTGTCTGGATAATGATCTTCACTCCTCTTGGCAGTCGACAGCCCGAAAAATTTTATTGACATCTCTTAATTTGGCAGCCAGAAAAAGCGATTCATAGACCCAGATGACAACGGATTTCTTGTATTGTATCTACAAATGTTTGACCCTCTCTGTCTTGTTTAGTTAGTTCCTTTGACATTTTCGGGGGCAAGAATTTGTTGGGCATTATTGAATCTAGTATTTCAAGACTACCCAAGTAGTCGGTCATTTTGTAAAAGAAAACGGCTAGTTCATATGGATTTGCAGCACAAAATCAATATAAAACACAATATTTATCTATAACAAAAATCAATGAAGGCCTGAGTATAAGAAAAAACTGCAAAAAGTAATGACCCTTCACAAAGAGAGTCACGCATGAGCGGACACGTGCACACGTGAAAATGACGCGACGGCGCGAAGGGAAGTATATTGTGTATATTGTCTCAGATTGCTGGCCATAAGACGGCTTCACGTATGTACGTTGAACCTGCCTACAAACATAACTCATTAGGTGAATCGTTAAATTACAATAAAAAATTACACATGATTGTACGTAAGACCGAAACGGAAATTGTAAAAATGGCTTAAATGGAATGGAAGAGAATAAAACGGGAGGATAAACGCGTTCGGACAGAACTTCTACTGACTTGGTCTGACGGGTATGGTATTGTGTTGAAACGCGTCAGTAGCTCTGCAATTTAAACTTTAAGGCAGGAGTATCTATAACATACCTTACAAGGTAAAATTTTAGCATTTTTTTATGAAATCACTTGAACATTTATAATCAATGAATGAATAATTGATATTTTCTGATTATTATTTTTAATTACCATAAATAGTTTTTGTAATTAATTAGCCAGCTGTCACGGTTAATTTAATATGCCTTACACATAACTTTGCTTTAAATGGCTATCTTCTTTCAATAAATTAAATTCTTATTTGTTGCAGCTATATTTATTATGCAAAA